TTTTCTCACACAAATACCTTATTCTACAGCTTGAATCCACTTTAGTGTATTTACAATTAGAAGCTTTTCCATCCACTGGGAAGCTTTTATCAAATTTTCGTTTATGAAAAAACGAATCAATTTCTCACGTAGTATACGAAAAAATATAAATTTTTCCATAATATTGATGGCTATATCCTAAATACCGTTTAAACTATTATCATTCACAATATTTCTCAATGAAACCACTAAACACGTCAGCATACTGACATATTCTAAACAAAAAGTTTTTTATACGTTCTCTCAAATAATATTTCCTATTGATAGATCCAATAAATTTCAAATGTTAAAAAGGTTTTATTATCTTATGTTCGAACAAAATATATCATCTCACTACACTGAAAAAATAAAACTTCTATTTGATCAATATCTAACTGACCGAAATATGCGAGTTCCACATTTTAGCCCCAACAGGGCTGCGCTGAAAAGGTTTTTTCTTCTATTCTTAAAAAATAAATCTGGATTACATCGAATTCTTCTTTTTATGCATTGTCAAGATCGAATGAATGATTAGTTTAGTTGATCGTCAATAGTAAAGAATTGAAGACGTAGTTAAATTTGTTTTCGATGAATACCAAAAGCATAGTTATGTTTGATTTTGTTTTTCAATTGCCAATTATTTTTATAAAATGAATTCTATTAGATAAATATTTTGGTATCAATATTGATTATCCTACCTTCGAATAAAGTAAACACAATAATAATCGATTGATCCTATAAAACGTATTTAAAACTATTTCGAAGTACAAATCTAAGAAATTTTGACAAAATACTTGATAGAAATGCTAAAACATTTCTTAATACTACTCTTTCATATATCTTTCTTAGTATCAATTACTGAAGGTATGTTTGACTGAAAGCTTCACGAATTTTTCAAATCTAATATCCTCAATAAGATATCCTAAGAAATGATTTTATCCATAACAATCAGGCATTTCATGTTATAAGCATACTTCATGTTCACCTAAAGGATCTTGTATAGTCGACGGAAACAAATATCAATGTTCAAATGCTGAACTATTCTGCTTTGTAAGATAAAAATTGTTTATTCAAGTAAAATTGCAATGTAATTTGAGTGTTATTTAGAACAATAATATTTTTTTCGATGTTGCTGAACGTGGTTGTGGTAGGATAACTAATGCAGAATTTCATTCTTTGGAATATATATACATTTATTTATTTATAGCTGACACATCTACGTGCAATTCTAGTATACCAAATCCTGGGCGTTTTTGTTGTAATACAGATTATTGCAATCAAGCTATTTCATCTGTTCAAATAAGCCGATCGATTCTATTGGCATCTATATTTATTAGAGTTTTCGTGATTAATTCTCTATCAAAAGCTTTTATATGATTGTCAAAAATTTGTCGTATTTTAACGAATATTTTATTTGAAATAAATTCGATGATGATAAAGTAATTTAGATTTGCTAAATTCATCTGAAGTTTTCATATTTTTAATTGAATAAATTAGCTTTTAGAATATAGAGTACTGTTGCCAATAAATATTAATCATTTGTGAAGATCTCCTATGTACACTAGATATGGTCTTATTTCGTTGAAAATAAAAACTGCCAAGTTGTTCTCTAACATTTAACATCAACTAGTGACAACATTCAGCTGAAGCGCAAATTCATAGAAACTAGTTTTCTTTTGCAGAAAATATTCTCAGTCGCATTCAGCATGTGCCTACATCAAACGAGACATTATTACTATTATTCTGCGTTTTGTGTTTTTGTTTCTTTTCTGCTTTCAGTGTCTCGTTTATTTTTTTTCCCGAGTCAGAATGACGTGAAGGACGCTGCTATTCTAATATTTTCTTGTCCTGTATCTTGTGATAATTTTGCAGGATGAAAATCTCTCTCTCCCGACAAGAAAGTTCCAGTCGTCAAATAGAGATTTTCAGTGAAACATCAACTACGGAAGAAAAGAATTGATTAAAATAATTTTTTTGATCAAGGTTAAAACGTCGTTGTCGATGTTTTTTTGTTTTTTTCATACATTTCCCGAGCACATACTTGTCGAGGTCATCTGTATCTTACTATGTTTTTAGTGTCTACATTATTTTTGAAGAAGAATGGAATTCGATGAGTCATAATTATTTATTATCAAGAGAAAAAACGGTTTCCATGTGGTTGGAACAATTACCTGATGAAATTATATTGACTATATGTTCATATCTAACTCCATTTCATGTCATTGAAGTATTTAACAATTTAAATGCTCGATTAAATTGCACAATAAGTCAGTATCGACAAAATCTTGATTTACGTTGTTTAAATTTACGCCAATTTTATTTCATTTGTGAAATGATTCGATCTAGTTTTGGTGAAAATGTACATTCAATTATTCTTTCAAATGCAGCACCGGCTGTAAGACAACTTATCTTATTTCGAAAACAAATTGAATCATTCACGAGCATATTACCGAATTTAGAACAATTAACACTTATAGATCATTATGACGATGAATTAGATTTGTATTTGCCTTTAGTTTCTATCTTAAGAAATCTTAAAAAATTAATTATTAATTTTATAAAAACGAAAAATGAAACAATATTATGCAGTTTTGTTACTCAAATGTTAACAGATAATTTTATCTATTTTGATCATATTCCAAAACGTCGAAGACGTGATATATTAACATTAGAAAAATTATCATTCATTGGGACTGGATATTTAAAATTAACACCCATATATAATGAAACAATTACACATTTAACAATTGAAATTGAAAACACTGATGATCTTATCGTCATTTTTACAGGATTTGATTCTTTGCAATATTTAAATGCTAATTTGAAGCAATTAACGGCATTAACATCAAACCAGTAAGTGGATTAATTCTAAAAATTTTTATAATACTTTCACATAAGAAAAGAAAAAAATAATAAGATAAAATTTTTTTTCAAGCTTTTGATGAAACATGTAATTTATTTACTGTTTTATGTACTCACTTTTCTTTGTAATTGATTCAATATACTGACGAATAGAGTATTATTACGAAAATTTTAGTAAATAAAATATATCACAATTATTGGATATCTCCCTAACTGAGAAGGAATTTTCTCTCAGCCTTGAACTTGAAAAATATTCTTTTTCTCAGTAGACTTTAACGATTTTATTTCATTTTCTATTCATCCAAGTCCACAAAAAAAAACTCTTTTCGTTTCGCCTTCATCTCAGAAAGCGTCAACTCTTGTTGCTTTATCATCGATCTCTTTCATAATCTTTGTGAATATAAGATATTCATTAGTCTAACAATATTTTTATGTTAATAGCACTTTAGCACAAAAATTTCTTTCAATAAAAAAACTGTTTATATAACTAGCTTTGTTAAATCAATGTTTCTTCAAGTATGGGTAGGAATAATCTGTCTTAGAAGTTTTCCTGACGAAATTCTAATTATTTAACTTATATGATATTTATCATGTGCTATGATTTTCGACTTTGAAATACGATAGTTTTGAACGTCATTAAGAAAATAAAGGATTAAAATAAATTGTTTTCGACGTTTCTCAAGTGAGTTAACAAGTCAAAATGTTTTTATTTCGACGACAGTCGTTACTCTTTCTAATCTACCTATGAGTTTCGGTTATTATATTTTTTTGATCTCTGTCTGATAACAATTGTCGAGTCATACTAAATATTTTGATGATAGGTATTTTAATTTTTATGTATTCCCTATTAACTTCAGTTACTTATGCATACGAATGTAAAATTACTTCAATTGGCAAAAACGTTGACTCTTCATAAAACAGTACGAAGATAGATATAGTATAATAAATGATTTGCTTATTGTTTTCATTAAGATTTAGTATCATAGTATTGTTTTATAATTTCAAACGATAAAGAGTTTTTTAATCGATATCTTTATTGCAAAGAAACTTTTATTTGTTCAGTTACAACAGCTTATATAATCAACGCCAGATTCAATGTTCATCATTAATCAAGTTTTGTTTTCAAGCAAGATGGCAACCTGAAATATTATCATTTAATCAATTTAAATCTATACTAAATATGGTACCAAATCTTCAGAATTTCTCATGTACGTTGAAGTCCGCAACAAATCAAAAAGAACTTGTGAACTCTGATTACATTAATAAAGACAAATGGCAGAATTTATGTGCTGAATTTCATGATCTAAGCAATTTGGACTGTTCAATTAAATGTTCTTTGAGTTCAACAAATACTTCTGAAACTAATTTTGTGCGAATTATTGCAACTATGTCTCGCACATCTGATCGATCAATTAACATTCGCCTTTATTACCACAACGAAAATAATAACACTATGAAACATGATGTAAGTATTTTACGATGGAAATATCAGGTTTGATTGCATATGATTGATAAAAAATGTAGAGGTATAAGGTGCTTATCTAAACTATCTAACGGAGATATGATTCAAAAATCGATCAAGGATGCTTTGGCACGATGATTTTTCACTATACGAAAATGTTTCCTTTAAAATTATATTCAAATTAGTGTTGTACAATATATCAATGATAATCACTAATTGCTTGGATAGATTAACTATGCATATATCATCACAATGCTATCCTTTGAAAACACCCAGATTATCTATGCACGAATTTGATTTTTGTCGAACACGAGAAAATAGTCATAGAAATAGTATAGATATGTGACTTTTCTACTGAATTTCATATAGCTACATATTAGAAAGAAAATTTTTTTCTAAATAACGCACAAAGATCATGAATATTTGTTGTCTAGCAAATTCATTTTATGCAATGATTTATCGTATACATCGATGATTTGAAGTCTTGCCAATTGATTTCTTAAAAATTGGCAATAATACCCATAAATATAACTACAATATGCGATAAGCGTGACTACAATTCTGATCATGATATTAATTTTTGTAGTTTGAGTGATGTTGATAAAAATCGTTTCTGCATCAATTGTACCGTGTTTACATTCATATTATTCTCTTGTTTCATAATAGTCTACGGTGGAACTTGATATTCAAGAACTACGGAATATGAATGGCAGACAATTGGCAGACAAAATCATACATAGTCAAGAAATAACTTTATATAGTGAATTTCTTGTTGATGATAGTAAATTATTTTCAACGTTTCCTGAATCATTATGTTTCCGAGATCATATTATATTTTCACGTATACAAAGTCTGGATCTTTTAGGCGAGTTTTCGAATATGAATAATATCTTCTTAACCACATTCGTCGAACAACTTATTCATCGTTGTCCAAATCTTCAATCAATTGGATTTTTTCTTTATTGGATCGAAAATATGACTGATTTAGTTCTTGATTTTTTACGACCACTTAAAGATGATTTAAGGCAAATACAAAGATGTTATTTATATACCGAAGGTGATATTGATGAAAAATTTATTTCCGAACTTTCACATTTGCTTCCATCATTGAATTTATTATCGGTAAAAGTTGATTGGTATTGTATTACTAGTAATATTGTAGATTTATGCATCGTAAATATTAAAAATTTAATTCATCTTGAAATGGTATTAGAAGACATTCCAGATTATTTAGATGACGATTATGTTGATAGAATGAAAATGGAAAAAGAAATTGAATCTTTAGCAATGACACGTGATATACAAGAATGGCTGAAACAAAATACGCTCTTAGGAAAACTTTCATCAAAAAGACTATTTCGTGCTGAAAAATCTGGTAATGACTTGAAAATATGGCTTTAGAATCTATTCATGTTTATTACTCAACATGTTATTGATTAGTTTATTTCGAATAAAAAGTATTCACCAGATCATTACCAAGAGACTTGATCTATAAAAAGATTTTTGTTTTTTAAAATATTAATTAATTCCATTTTTATAGACCTCTAACTTGTTCTACCATTGGCATCATAGCATTGGCACATATGTAGTGGCCTAATCAGAGTTAGCCGAGTGGTTGAGAGTCGCCCAACCATGCCCTATCCTGTTTACGCCACTAATTATGATATTTTTCATTTGGAAGAAGTCGAGAACGTCGATGACTGATGGAAACAGCCCTCATCTAGATATGATTTATTTCACGCCAAACCCTTCCTAGTCGTTTCCAGAAGTAATCTCTGACAGAATCAGCTCTATAAGCACCTGTTAATAGTATTTTGTTTTCGTCGATTGAAATAGTTAATAGTAATCATATGTACACTACAGTTGGGCGAGTAGATTAATCTGAATTTAAGGATACATTCACATTAGTAATGAGCGAGACCAATCATTTTTGGTCTCGGAACCATGATCATGTTAAACTATATATAACTCACATCTAAGCTAGTTTTTCTAACGACTAGTAATAAATAACGAGGATACGACTGTAGATCACCTGTGAAGAACTAATTTGGGTGATATTCATTCTCAGTTTTTTAAGGGTTTTTGATCATTGATAATGTTTCTCAAGAAGGAGATTTGGTTTAACATCTGTATTGTTAGTTTGAAAACTTTAAAATGAAAATAACAACATGAGAATTGATTGATACTTTCAATCATGTGGTTCGACATGTAACGAAATTGATCTGTTGCGCAGTAACTTCGAATAAGAAAAGCATTAGATCATTCGATGAATTTAATAATTCAAATTGATCTTGTTTATCATCATGTTTCTTCGGTTATTTAATATCTAACTACTTCATATGATATAAATTTGAATCATTCTAAAAGTTTAAAAAATAACCGAATATCTGATAAGTCTTCTCGCCTGTATCTATGGTTGAGTATTTGTTTGATTTATTGATTTAATTATTCTTTCGATACATCAAGTAAATATAAATAATTACGTGAAGGACCAACATTTTCATATGTAAGAAAGTTTGTAAAACTGAATGAAGATTCGTTATCATGTTATAACAAGAAATATAAATTATTGCAATGATTAACATGTATCGACAATATTAATGTGAACAAGAATACGTGAAATTTTGTAAGATTTATGTTGGACGATCATAAATCAACATTTTAGGCAAATATATAAAAGAGATGAAATGTTTTTCAGTTCGTTGAAAAGTGTTACTCCGTTGGCATGTTATCTTGATACAAATCTGGCCAATAGTCAATATTAGACATCTTTCAATTCGAAAGGGCTATGCCAACTGAAAATCTAAGAGCGATGATGCTGCTTATTTTCTAAATCGCTGCAGTAATAAAACCTTCCGTCAGTGAAACTTGTTACTGCTCCTGTGGTAAACCTATTGGTTCGCGAACATTATCAAACGTTAGGTCAATTAATCTCGCTTCGTGTAGTACAGACACCCGTGCATGTACAACTGTGTGTACAAGAAATTTTACCATCTGTAGTACGGAAGATGCAAGTGATACTTGTGAGACTACTTTTCTAAAATATTTTCCGCCATTTTTTATTGTATTTATTGGTATCTTCTCTACAAATATGACTCAATAAGACATATCCGACACTCAAGGAACGCTGTTTTTTTACTAAGTTTTAGTTTGAAATAGGAACAACATTTGATGATTGTTGAGTTCACCATTCAATTCTAACTTATTTTGTTTCATTAAAGAAAACGAACATTTTTTCTAACAAGTTCTATTTAGATGATGTATTAAATAATGTATTACGTTATGCTTACTCGTTTCTCATACCTTACTCGTTCAATTCTACTTGTTAACGGGAACTGTATGATTTGAAAAGCAACTATATGAATTAAACGTATTCTTTTTGTTCTCATGCGTTATTATGTTGGTTTTTTTCAGTCGATCTACTCATATGCTCATAGACAAAAATTAAATCATCGACGATCTTATTGCTAGATATGGATTTTATTGCATGTTTATGAAGTTTATCATGGTCTTTTAAAAAATACTTTCAAGATTGATCTCGATTTAATATATCAACGTAATTAATTAGAAAACAATTTGTAATCAATGCAGTAGTTAGAATTATGCTAAATTAATAATTCTCAACAAAAAAATAAAGCAGATAGTTTATCCAGGCTTCATTATTTTGATGATTTCAAATTAAGATACTTTTATTAACAATAAATATATCAGGATATAAATTGTTTCATTTCGATGATATTTTTGCTGGCAACAAAAGTATAACGAATTATTCAACAACGAAGATTTACGTGTAATAGATTTATTTACTCATAAGAAAGAGGTCCGTGTAGTCAAACAGACTATGTTTTCAGTAGTTTAACGTTAAATAATCAACTTTATTGACTGCAATATACGATCTAAAAGATTCAAATAGTGAAATAAGACGTGTGTTAAATGAATATCAACATTGCAAAGACATGCGATCTATTAATTGTGGACCAGTACTGGGAGGACTAATCTGTCGAGTGAATTGGTAGGGATGATTGAATTTATCACGAATATTATCCTCTTTTGTCGATCGAAATCGATTTATTACGATGCCTTTTTTAGCAATAATTTTGTACCATCGTTAATAGTTAGAGGGATACAGTTCAGCAAACATGATAGATAGTAGAGATCCTTACTACAACAATCTAGGCAAAGCAGTCTCTAAATACTGTTCATCCATGTTTCAAAAGTTTTACAAGTTTCGTTTTGATTTCTACACACTAATGGCAGTGGTAATAGAGACTGTGATCATTGAAAAGACTTTGTGACTCTATGCGACTGAAAATTTCTTCTAAAAACAATCGACAGCTTACGACTCGCAATGCTAGCTGTGTTACCTTGTTTGTTTTATGAGCGATGAGATAAATATGAGTGTATATTTTTTGGGTCCACTATATTCATATATATATATATATATCCTACTAAACTGTATACCATGTTGCACAACACTCAGTTATACTTCTGATCAATACGAATTTTATTAACTTAACGTAAAGTTTAGAGTTTCGATTAAAATTTTTACGAGAAAATGGAGTTCCACCTGAAATTCATATAACTCATATGTTCACGTAGAAGTAGATATAAACAAATAAGTTTGATTAATTAATTTTCTATTAAAAACATGAGCATTATTTCATCCGTTTACTTTGAACTAAAATATTCTCGCTCTTTGTTTGGCGAATTTTCTACGTATTATGTTTCTAATTAAATTTCATTATAAACAAAGAATAATATGAACGTTTTTGCTGCTAACTAAAATTCGATTTAGAATCATCGAATATTTATGTCGAATCTATCTACTTCAAGTGCGCTACATCTGTCCTATACTATCGTGGAAAAGAAAGCTAATATTTGATTAAAATTAAATTAATTAAGTTTTAATGATTAGAATGGACTTCGTTCAATAGAAATGCTGTTGGCAGAATATAAAACTTAGTTTAATGAAAATACTACGCAGTGGATATCGTCACCAGTGATTTATCTATTGTATAGACAGCGTGGGCGGCGGTCACTCAACATTTTGAGTCGCCCACTCAAATATACACAGTTGGTTTCATACAAGTACTATATGGCAAAAACTTTTCTAGCCATCAGTCCTCCAAAAATTTCTACCGCCCACCCGAAAAATGAAACCTAGATAAAACACTGGCAGTCACAGTCAGTACTTTGTGAGGATTCCCTGAATATTTTCGAGTTAAAAACTTATCTAAACGCTAATTATAATTAGACTGCATGCATGTGAAGAAAATGACATCAATATTTTTAGTTTTTCACAAAAACTAATCGAAGTTATCATTAGAGTAAAATTACACATTTTTAATATTCTTCTTGTTAACGATATGTAAAGGCAATAGCAAAAAATAATAATAGTAGCTATTTGTTTTGACATATTGTACATCAATAAAAGTTTCCGATGTAAATTAAAACTATAGAAGTACATTTAAGTAAAGCTTCTATTGAATCTTATGAAATATAGATTGTATCAAGTTATCTTTATGAAAATGCTTCATATGATTAACATTTAGATTCTAGAAGTGCAGTTGATTAGACAAATTCTACTAATTTTGTGGAACTCACATATATTTTCGAAGAAAATGGCGAGTGTAAGCTTAAAAGCGAGATTTTGCGATTCCCCATCCCAATCTCCCATTAGAGACATTAATGAGTTTAAAATTGTGCTAATTAGGAGCTTGACTAATGAGGCTGCTATTTCTTCCTTTTTTAATTACAGACTACACAAAAAAGCAATGTTTGCTCATTACAGACCATAGTAACTAGCTTATGGTACCATTACAGGCCATAGAAACTAGTCTCTATCATTGTTAAATATACGAGCTAGCAATTAAGACTCCATCACAGACGTAAGCAAATAAGCAATGACCTAATTATAGGTTTTGTGAATCAAGGTAGATTTTTCAGATGACCTATTTTGAATTATTTTAGTAAGCCGAAGGGATATATGTGAGTTCCACATTTTAGTCCCAAAGGGGCTGCGCTAAAAACTTTTAAGAATACAACGAAAAATATTTCTACAGTTTATATATATATTTTTTTTTCAATTTCCCAACAAAGTTTGAATAGATTATTTTTAGTTGGATCTATTGGAATTACGAGACGAATGAATTAAGGAGAGGAATAATTGTGTGCATTCCAAGTAATCCTCGGTGATTCACAGACAACAATAGATTTACTTTATTTGTTTATAGATATTTGAATTATCTTCAAAAAAACATGAATTAGGTACATCTTTTGATGAGTAACAACTGTCTAGTGTAGATTTTATTTTCATCTCAAATTCTAATTGGTCACGAAGCTTCGTTCGTTCGTAAATAATAATTTAAAAATAACATAAAATCTAGTAGAATTTTTTCTTTTCTTTTGATCAAGGTAATTAGAATAATATTTTGTTTTTTATCAGAATTTATATATAGAAACCGTATTATTTTCATAGGCTTATCAAATAAAAATGCGTTGCTATAATGAGAATTGACGCAGAATAAAATAAAAGATTAGAGATTTTATTTTATTGCTGCGATACATTCAAATTTATAAGAATTTTTCTTTTCTTGATTTCATAGAAGTTTCAACAGTGGATATTTCTTCTGTATTCGGATGTATAGCGAGAGAGACATGTTCCTTTGTTTTTCTTTTCTATATTCGATTTTTACGATTGATGACGCGTTGTTAAAATCCGCAACAAGCGAAACATTTTATGATATAACAAAAACGAAAAAAAGGTGAAAGAGATTCCTAGGTAAACCAAGAAACAATAATGCATAATAAAAAAAGAAAATGTGTACGAAAATGATTTTGTTGTTGGCGCAAAAGTAAGTCAGTCAGGCTATATCGCAAAGTTTTGTTTTTTATTTATGTAATTTTGAATAATTTCTCTCGTTTGATCGTTGATTGTGTTTATCCAGAGAATATGAACCAATTCAAATATGAATACATGAAATCATTCGTATCAACGTTCGTCATTTCTCATGAAGATATAACGAAGAAAATCAATACTTATGATTCAAATAAAAACCAGTGAATCTTCGCAAAAACGATTGATTAAGAAGAATCAAAATATATTATTGAAAAGAATTCAACTAAGCGTATGACGAATGAATGAGTTTAAATCAAATGTTTTTTAGTATTTATTTAACAATTGTTTGTTATTCTATGGTGTTATACTAAAACCTAAACACATGAATTATTCAATTAATGAAGAATTTCATTGATTAAAGAACATTGGAGATTTGAAAGCTATAAAATAAAATCATATCTCATTATCATAGATAAGCAAAAATTTTATTTTTTTACCATTGCTTTTATTTGTATAAGTTTGCATTCTAATGAACTTTACGAAAAAAAAGATGATCTAAATTAGTTTCATTTCGATCTCAAATCTTTGTACAATGACAAAGAATCATGTTATATTCGTACGTATTTTGTATGTTTATTATTCTTATACAAAAGAAGAAAAGAAAGAAATACTTGAATAGTAAAAGAATTTGATTACTTCTCAATAATCGACTAGAGTTATTTGAAGAACAATAAGATATAAGAGAAAAGAAACAAACAAACAACGCAGAAGAAAGAGAATACAAAGAACAATACAGGTCTACGAAGTGCTCATTTTCATGTATTGTCTGGTTTTTGTAACTTTCTGTTTTAATGTTTTAGGCTGATTTCGCACATGAAGATTATTGTGACTTGGGATAATGGACACATTCTGTTTTGGCGGCGACACACACACACACACACACACACACATATAGATGAGCATCAGACACAAGCCAACAAATAAAATTAAAACCAAGCAAACAAATAAACGAATGTGCGAGATGCTTACAGCGAAGAACAATAAAGAATAGTGAGGAAAATAATTGAAACGATAGCAGTCGATTGAAGAGATGATAACGATGAAGATCGAGGCTTATCACAAAAAAGCCAATTGGTATTTATTGAGCGAGGATAATCTACGGCTGCTTCCATACTTGTGTTGTTTAAACGCCAAAAATCGAGACCTTTAAAAAAATATGTTGAACCTATAAAAAGAAAATGTTGAAAACAATAACAAAAAATAAAATTATCAACGTACCGGTTAAATCAACAAAGGCATCGTCAAGTGGAATATCAATTCCTTGCCACATAGTCATATCTCTTGGATAATCATAAGTATTAACACGATTCCATCTTTCATCTAATGCCCAATATAAATTCTCTGAAACAAGATAGGCTTGACGATTAAATGACCATAGAAAAGCTGCATCAATATAATCAACATGTGTTGGAAGACCAAGTGAACTTATATTACGAGGATAAGTGGAGCCATCTTCTTCAACTGATATTTTATTATCGTCGAATAGCCAATATTGACGACCTAAAATATTTTATGTTTCTTTTTTGTATATTAATCATAAAAAACGCTATACCTGAGAAAAGCATTAAACGCCCATCAGCTCGTTCATAAGCAGCATCAATTTTTGTCAATGTTTCTGGTAATCCTAACCAAAAAGCATTATTTATCATTGGTGATGAAGAATCTAAACCGCGTCGATCATATTGCCAAAAATACTACATTAAAAATAGAAATTTATCAAATGAATGTAAATCCAGAATAACGATTAAAGTTAACCTGTCCTTTAAATATAAATAGAATTCCTTTATACATCGTAATCGCATCATAAAATCCATCGCATAAATCTAATGTCGATGGATCTGTATAATTTATTTTAATCTGTTCAGTTGATCTATGTCTTTCCACGTACGATTGTAACGGGTGGTTTGTTGATTTTGGCGTTGCTGATTTTGTTATAGATGGATGTTTAGTTTCATATGAATGACTTAATGTCATTAGTGTTGTTGCTGCTGTTGTTGTTGTTGTCGTCGTCGTTACCGGTTTTGTTGTTGTTGTTGCTGTTGCTGCTGTGATTGTGGTTGTGATTGTGGTTGTGCTTGTGATGGTCATTGTCGTTGTAGTGATTGTTGTTTCATTATGAATTCTTTTATGATTGTTTAAAACTAAAGTTGATATAGGATTAGTTGAAGTTGTCGTTTCAATTTTTGTTGATGTTGAGGTTACCATTGTTGCTGCTGCTACTTCAACTGTATTTGTTATTATTGGCGGTGTTGTTGAATAGTCATTCGTTTCTTTTGCTATTTCATCCGTATTTAATGATGACGGAGTCAGTACTTCAGTTGGAGGATCTACACCACAAAGAAAGGTTTTCTTTTTATGTTAATTAAAATAATAAATTTACCTCCATAAAGTTTTCGAACAGCTGCTATATCATCACTATGTAGTTTAATACTTTTTGAGTAACCACGATAATAGGGAAACATAATAGCATCAGGTATATTCGAATGCATTAAACCTAATGAATGTCCTAATTCATGAACTGTTACTGAGAATAAATCCACTAAAATAAGCATAAAAAATATCTTGGCATAAATTTAATAAAATACACGGTGATTAAGAAATAAATATATAAACGACAGAAGTGTCAAATACCAGAAATCTTCTACAGTAAATAAAATTCAGTTTTCTCTTCTGAATAGAAATATGACCAAATTTTCGATTCATAAGGAATCTGTCTGTAGATGTAAGTTTGAAGCAGTACGTATGACCCTAATTGAGATAGCATTCTACTACGATCTCAATCATTCACAAGATGACGTATGTGAAAGTTTTTACATATGTGCAATCTTAGACATACAGGATAACGAGAGCAATTCTGTTCCAATCTCATCAGTTGAACATGACTTATTATGTACGATAGCACTAGTTATTATAAATTATATAATTTAATTAGCACAGAAACTTACTATCCTATCAGGCTGTAGTTATGTAACAGATTCGTAGCTATCAAAACTAATCGATGAAATTCAAAGAAACTCATCATATAAATAGCCGCATCAAAGAGTACATCGTGATTGATTTGTCAATTCATTAAGTTCTTTTCTTTATGAATTATAGAGCTACAAGGAAAAAGAGCGATGAGAAATTAATCAGTTTAATTCATGAAAATTGTCTGGAGTATTAAAATCATCTATTTATTCATGAGTCATTCTATAGGTCGTCGACACGAACTTCTATGAAGAGTACGATCGCAATTTTCTCGCTTTAGATTGGAAATCTAGAGATATACATTAGATCGATGGAATAGTAGAGTTTATTTTCGCTATCAAAAATATTTGTTTGAAGTTTTGTCTTATGACGATCGAGATAGAACAAAAAAGGAAAAGCAGAGAAGAAAAGATTCGCTCACACACCTTCAGATTTTCTACAAAATTTTCCGTCTTATTTGTGATGAATATTTAGGCGACTATCTGTTTTTTCTTAAATTCTTCCATGAGAAAGTATTACCATTAGCACTGTGAAGCTAATTGTTGGCTACAATTTCAGGCAAAAACAAATTCTCGAGTAGAATATCGGAAAAGAAAAAGAGCGTACTTACTTAGACCATATTCATTCTCTCTGTAGACTGTCCAATCTTCATCTTCGTCATAATGAACATCTCCACCGAGATGTTCTTCAGGATAGAAAGCATGAGCTAGAACAGAACCTAAACAAGAAGCATTGAAGCATTTTTCACCACATCTAATAAAAATGTAAACCTTTTCCATCAAACTGATATCCATCTTCATGGTAACCTTGAGCGAATAAAAATTCAATATCTGGATGTTCCATTTCATTGGCTTGACGAAATCTTAATTGGCTCGGATACGACCAAATTAACAGAGCATGATAAATGGCTCGATCAACAGAATCACGTGGCATATCTGGTGTATAATTCATAATTCTATTTAAAAATTGAAAGTACATTAAAAAAAAGAGCGGTTAGATTCATATTAGTTTTCCTCTTCGCAGTATTTTTTTCTTTATTTTTATGATTTGGAAAGATGAAAAGACTATCAGTACCGATGATCTATCTAATCAAGAGAATAAGCATTTTGGTGATACTTCAAGTGACAGTATTTCCCTAGACACTCATCAAAACCCAGCTCAACAAAAACAATCAGCTATTTATGATCAAAAACGATTTGATAATTTTAATTGTTTGTCTCAACATGAAGAATTAATAGAATTACGTACAAAACCTTCACAATCTCTAAAGTTTTCTCAATCATCTAATTCAATCAATTTAAAATTATACAACGATAATTCTTTTCCTATAATATTTAAATTGAAAACAACTGAGCCCGATATAATCGCTTCTCAGCCGGCTCGTGGTTTTATTCAAGCTAATTCATTCATTGAATGCCGCTTAACTTCAATTGAAACTGACTATCGAATATTATTTGTTGTACAATATACACGAATCTTAAATCAATATGATGATTATATAACACAATGGAAAAATTTAAAATCAGAAAACATTTATATAAAAAATTTCCATTGTAATTTTCAATTTAATTTTCAACATGAAACACAAATAGATAGCAAACAAAAATTTTTGAAGCCAATATTATTTACATTTGCAACTATTACTCTTCTAACTGCTTTTATTTATTTCAGAAATAAATAATTTTTACTTACTTATAGGTTAAATATGTTTTAGCCCATTTTTGTCCTTGTAAAACATACCGACGTCGACGACGATTTCCATAGATATGAGGACGTGGTAAACGATGAGGTTCATAATCAGCTAAACCGCAACGAGGACGTCTTATTAGATCAAGTGTTGCTTGATCGAGTTTACCCTGAGAAATATTGAAAGAAATCATCTGAAAAAGCAAAAACCAATTCTACGTACAGTCACAGGAATCGTGGCAAATGTTTGTAAACGTCGAATTGCAGAACGAAATTCTTCATCTGTTCGTATTGCTCGCGTTTCCAAATCAGAACGAGGTAAGTAACCATAATTACTTAAATATGTATGCTAAGGAAAAATTGAAATGAATCAGTTCATATTATCTGTTTATGTTTGTGTTTGTCTTGCTCAATCAAAATGAACTTACAAGTTCGCCTAAAACAGCTTTGTTCTTGTCGTCAAATATCGAATGTCTTCGATCTTTGTTCATTATTTTATCTTTTGACGTTGCTACTTCTCGTTGATCTCTATCGATTAAAATGGGTCTTGAAAGGACTAATTCGATGAGGATAACAACGACGAAAAGTAAATGACAATTGAGGACGATCAAGCCACAGGGCATAGTCACCACAAAAGTCTAAGTAGTACATCACCACTGTTGTACAAGCATGTTCACTTGTCTCTTTCTAAAACAGATCATATAGTATATCCAATATCTATATTTATATTTATATTTATCCTACAAGTAGATCAACAGAAAACAAAATGCCATTCGGATAGAATCGATCGGTCGATCCGTATTCACTTTTTATTTGACCCTAATCTTAGATTCCTTCTGGTTTTTGTTTCCAATAGTAATCTGCTTTTACTTTTACTTTTACTTTAATTAACCTTGGCTCACAGAACAGATTTATTCATTTGGGAAATAATCTTATTGTTTAGATTCTTTCCGGCTATCAAGTCTTGTTCATTTTTCTTCAATGTAAATTTTAAAAAAATGAATATTCCTATCATTTTCACCGGACATACGATAAAAACAAAATACAAAACAAACAATTGTATTAGTCACTATCCACTAATAAATGGAAAATAAATTAATATTATTTGCTATAAAAAAAGAAAAGCTCTTCATAAGAGATTTTTCGATGGAACCCTTGTCGAAACCAATCAATAAGGAAACCAAAAAGTTGTCAAACATCAAGGACAAATATTCATTCTCATTCCTACTATAAATAGAAAGAAAATGTATGGTAATTACATATTCCCATCTATACGACAGAATCTTTTTCAAAAAGAAGAATTAGCATAATTTAGTTTTCTTTTTGAATTCAATATTTATTCTTTAATTGTTTATTCCGGTCGAAATAAACCTCTTTTCTTGTTTAAAAAGAAACAAGACTTCTTTTCAAATAAATCCACATTCTCAAACAATCCTACCTGAAAATATAAACTAACTCTAAAGACCAAACCGATATATATATATATATATATATATATATATGGTACTTGCTCTCTTAATAGCTCTTTATTTCTCTCCGAATGAATACATTTGTTTTATATAGTGCATCCCATTTTTTTCATCAAGTCACGTCTCATCGAAATATTTTCTTGTTTTTTTTTTATATTCTTTTACTCTTCTATGACTAATCGGTAAGTGAATCCTTAGAGGCAGATAGAGAAATGAATGAAATGCATACACACAGCATGCTTCTGATTATATTATGAGCACACGCACAACACTGAGCATTCTATCTCACATAATAAATGGGTTGTAATATTAGCTTGCTAGTAGAATACAAAAAGTCAGTATAATCACACTAATACGAGGCCGTCGTTTTCTTGTTTCTTTTTCCTTCGAACTGTTAATTTGATGAGAGAGAGAGAGAGAGAGAGAGAGAGAAGGAGGAAAAGAAAAAGAAAAAAAAGAAGCTGAGGTTGCGAACCGATCACCATTCAAGGACATTCGAATACTTCTCTTCTGGTTATGTGCATTTTTATATGCCTTTCAAAGAAGAGAAGAAAAAGCTAAGTTCATAACTATCTTCATTTGTTTATGCAATACTGACGACAAGTCTTATCTTCTTTGCCTTCGTTTTATATCGAAACGACAGCTGGATTCTAACACACTCATCAATCTCTATATAAAAATTGCGTAAAAAAACAAGAATACGGGATGTGATTTTGTTCATATTAGTTCTTTGACTCTTTACTTGTTGTCTTTTTTATCTATCGGTCAAACAACAACTAATAATAGATTGAATTTTCTTAATACAAGTATCGTGCAAGTGTGAATATGTTTTAGTCCTATACCTTGTTGTTGAATTTCGCTGTTCTTTCTTATAATAGCTTTGACTAAATCGAAAATTTAAATTCAGAAGCCAAACTTGATGAGAGGATTATTTTATTTATTAGAATAATTAATATCTTTTATACTAAGTATAAAAATCTCTTACCGAATCATCATTTTCTATTTTCTGCTATTTCTACTCGACAATTATTACTTTGAAACAAATCAAACTGTTAACACTGCCATTAATATATTAATAATATCTATATTGACCTTCTTTTTTTTGTTACTTTAGATGAATAGTAATGATCTCTCTTATACAACAATGACTCCATTTACCTTTTCATAGGTGTGAAAGAATAAAGGTATAATCAATTCTATGCGACAGCTAAAAGGTCGTATTGTAAGAATAAAGTTGTTCGAGATTTCGGCATTCGATTAAAAACTAATTCACCAAACAAATCATCAATACATGTTATCTTAATGATAAACGAATGAGCAATATTTCAGAACTAAAACTGATATCTATTTCTTTGTTGATGCATCAAAGCATACGAATATATTTTCTTGTTGTCTATCATATGAAAATACACATTGTTTTAATATATGTATGGTGGCAAGTTTTACACTTCCAGACAATATTTGCATAATCTCCTAACACTCTTCTATGCTTACTGTTTTCATAATGATTAATATAGTTGTATAAGTTGATCAAATATTATGATATGATACTACCTACATATATGCCATTGACCTTCATCTGTATTCAGCTGCTGAATTATTTCTCCCATGCTTTTTAATGATTAATTTTAAAAACAAAATTCCAATAGTTTATTTTTTCGAACGATTACTCACAGATCTCATTCTGAAAAACAACTGATGTATAATCATCATTATATCGTTACTAACAATGTGTATGTATATATAATTAACAAAAGCTTTTTGGTATAAATATATCAAATGAAATGGTAATATATTCTGTAATTCTATGAATGATCTATTGATGACAGACAAATTTAGATAAAAACAGATTTTCTATGATGAATATTCCTACCTGAAAATGTTTTAGCCAACCAGATGAATGCTATACGATTTGATTGCTTTACTTGCTATTTTATTTTATACACGATAAAAGACTTGTTCAAGGTTTCGAATTGTTAAATTGTTTCTTCTACAGTAAGTCGCTGCCTGAATACATTCATTCACACATACTCACGCATGCAATGATCGCTAAAGAACCAAAAAAGACACCCAAGCAGAGAGAGAGAGAGCACCGAGTCGCGCAAGTATGTGGTTTTTCTTTCTTATTTCTTTCTCTCATTGGTATATCCATTCTTTCTGTTCGCTCTTTTTCTGTCAAACCACAGAATGTTTAACGTTCTATGATGTTGTTCCTGCTGTTGGTGGCAATGATGAAAAAGAGAATGATTAGCAGACACAAGTATGAGAGAAAATCGAGAAGAACGAGAAGACAAATTTCTTTTTTTTTGCGTTTAAACTTGTAATTTACATTGAAGGCTCTCACAAAATGCTCTTTTTTCTTTTCTATTATAAACAAGAATGTTATTTCAAAAGTAGATTTCAATTTTTGTTTTGCCAAGATCTGATTTCTCTAGAAATAAAAATAAATCTGAAGTTTTGAAGACATGATTTCTATCAAACAGCTGTCATCAATCAAATATCTAAACAAATAAAAGAGAACAATGTAAAGATCTTGTGATTGATGTGTTACTTGATTACTGCGGTTTTCTCTCTGATTTCTGAAAAAAAAACAATAACTTTGATAAGAATAGGTCGCTCTTGATTGAAATTTTTCGAAAAAATAAAGTAGACTGCCGCATGGAGCAAGCAAAATTGCGGAAAAAAATCAAAAACCAAAATGATAATTATATTTTAGTGTTTGCAGTATGTAATGAAGAAAATGGTTTTTTATCATTATTCTTTCTCTTTTCAGTCCTGTGCTAAAGAACAGATGAAGCTACTCAAAGTATGTCAGGCGAAAATGTAATTGTAAGAAGAATTGCAGAACGCTCCATTCGACATTTTAAAAAATACATCTTCTGATGGATCTGTCAACATTTATTTCATGAACATAGATCATTTTCTACAAGTTTATTTGCTATCCTTCTCATATAATGATGATGCATTCGTTGTCTGCATAGTTTTAACCAAGGCTCAAATTAAATTCTTATTGCCTAACGCATCTATTAGAATATATTTATTTAATGATAATCATGTTTATTTTCAACTAAATAAGAAGAGTTCTCTGATAAGAGGATTTAAATTAAGGTCATTATTCAACTCTACTTCTTATTTCTTGTATGATAAAGAATAATTAGTCTGCATCCTCTTAATCTATGAAATACAAAAAGCAGATCTCGTAGAAAATTTGCAGAGAAAACACTTCAAATTGAATATCTTATAAAGAAACGAAGATTAACAAGATCATTTTCATTTTTTGATCGATTAAGTCAAGACATATATATATATACAGTATATATATATATATTGAAGAAAAATTCTTTTCCAATTACTATCAATCAAGCTCTACATAGGATTTAAAAAAGGAATATTGTTACGCATTCGGATCCTTTTCCTTTATTTATCAGAAAAATTTTGAAAATCTATGTGCTGTCGAATACGAAATTCAATAACACTTGACGCTTGCTGTGGATGATAACTTATAATCCAACAAATAAGTAAAGAAGAAACAACGAACGCAGGAAGAATAATCGACATCACTATGATCAATTGTGTACCGCAATCAATTTGTTGAGAAAATGTCTCTGAAAAAATAAAATATTGACATATACTTATGTGTTGAGATATTTATTGATAACAAACCAATATATTCCATCAAATAAGATAACGAATATCACAGAAAAATTATTTGTGAAGAAAAGCGAGGGAGATAAAATTTCTTTGTTCGATTTCTAAAATATTCTTTTTATTTTATCAATTATTATAATAAATTTATCTCTAAATGTTTTCGAAATACCCATTTCAATATAGAATTTAATTTCATAATTAATAATAAGTAACAGTCGAATGATATTTAATTAAATTTTTAAAATTCTCTAATAAGTGTTCTCTTTTTTTATTGAATTTATACTAAATTTTAGTTCAAATATTAATTCAATTACTTGAATTTAGAATTGTCAATATAATAAATAAGAGTTATTATTTGTATAAAAACAGTTTTAATTAATTGTTTTTAATATTGTCTTGTTAATTTTCAATTAGAATTGCATTGATTTGTTGCTGAAAATTTTGTTTATCATTTAATGTCAATAGAGTTATTACATTAATATTGAAGATGACAAACTACAAAATATTAATATAAAATTTTATATATTATCGGTACTATTATTTATCTCACAGGCGAAAATTAGTTTACTATATGAATTTAACTTAGGAAAGTATTCGCAAAAAAACAATTTTTGTATGCGTAAATCAAGTATTAAACTATATTTGATTATTGTTAAACAATTGAAATTTAATACCATTCGGTTGGAACAAAAATATTGACGTTTTAATTTTGAGTCATTTATTGAATAAAATCGGTCTAGTAAATGCAAAAGTCAACATTCAAGGTTAGGTCGAAAAAATATTATCAAGAAAATACGTTCGAATTTTACAGTATAAGTGTGAATCATCACCAACAGATAGTTATTTTAGAAAATTTCATTCAATTTTTGAGTAAAAATATCAAGTGATAACATGACTAAATATTGTTTGTTGAATCTACCAGAAAATAAAGAAAATGTTATGCTTTTTTAGGTATCAAAAGGACAAATATAATTAAACTGCATAAATTATCTATCGGACCAATGAAGAATACGATGGGAACGAACCATCGATTAGTGATGATACTTGAATTTTCTAATTTAATAACTAATGATGATGTCATCGATATGGTTGAAATCAGAGAAATGTGATTATCATTTTTGAGTGATCTTCGACTTATGACGTTGGTTAGATAGGATAGTGTGATGGCTGACGATGGCGATTATAATGAAGAAATGTATGTTGCAGCTCATTAACAATATTTTATCAATTGGAAACAATAACGATATACGGTTTCATAGTTTTAGCAAGATTTTAATAATAATGCATTTCCTACGAAGTAAAATAGTTTATTTTTCATCGAATGACTATTTCACCATGCAATAATACTAATACTATTCAGGATTGATTCGAACTGTTTTATAAAACATCTTTTCTGTTAAAAACATTTATTGCATGAGCAATCATAAATACAATTCAATCGAACTATTTACATCAATACAAGATAATTTTTGATGTTATTCATTTATCAAGACAAAATAATGTTCAGTCGTCAAATAACTAAAGTTATTGATTGAAAATACGACAGTCGAATATAGACGACGAATATTTATCTATGTTGAATTTGATCAAGTTATTTTTTTGGCATAGATCAATCTATATTTAAGAGAAACATGTACTATCATGTGAAATAAAATGACATATCTTAAATTGATATCTTTTTGAGAATTTAACACAAATGATTCAACACGTTATATGCCAAATTTCTATTATAAATTTCACATAGGTTATTTCGACGATGATCTATGCTTTGGGCAAATCAATTGGAATTGAATAAAACAAAACTATTGATTAAACACTAGAATTATTCATCATTGATAAGTCTTAAAGATAACTAGAAAAAATTTCTTCAGAGAATAGCTATTAGATTCCAATAAAACATTCTATAGTGGACACCCTACGAACACTTAAAAAGTGTTCGCTATAGAGAGGTGTTCAGTACACAGAGGATATGTATTTTCACCAAAAAATAATATTCTTCAGTAAATAGCGCTGCTTTGTTTTCTAGTAGGTTCGATCCTAAAATATAAATCTATTTTGATCGCTCGTATGCCTTTGGTCATGTTGGAGATATATTTAGCGAAGAATTCTATTTAGTGATGAAAATTTTTGATCTCACTACCTTGTGATATATTCTTTTTGTCGGTCAGTTTTTGCATTAATTAAACAATAACGATTTTGATTATCTTTGATTAGTAGAATTTGTTTTTCTTCTAAACTTAATACTGGTCAATACGAACTAGTATTTTTGTTCTCCTAATAATAGCATCAACATGGCGCAAATGACAGAATAACATTATTTCAAGGGCGAAACAGCGGATTTAAATCAGCTAAAAGTCAAAATGAAATCAGATAAATCAGTCTAACTCAATTTAAATCAGGTAAATCAGTTTAACTCAATTTAAATCAGGTAAATCAGTTTAACTCAATTTAAATCAGGTAAATCACTCTAAGTCATCTTAAATCAGTAGTTTTAATCGAAAACAATTCGTTTAAGGCCTCAAACTATAATGAAACTTGATATTGGTATTAAAGTTAAAGTCATTGCATATCATATTATTTTAGCGTCTTACAAAGTGTAACGTCCCAAGTGAGCAAAAGACTGGTTAAATGACTAGTCTTTTTTCTAGTCAAGTTGACCCGTCCCGTCTAGTCTTTGTCTCAAAAACTACTCGTCCACGACTAGTCCGATTTTTTATCCGTCATGCATACGCGTCCTAGTACTCTGATTGACGACTAGTCATAAAATCTAATAAGAGTAGTCGTGACGAGTGTCCCTGTCGCCCGTCCGAAAATGGTCTATGAATGAAAAATTAAGGGCGTCTGGGACGA